ATATATATATATACTAGCAGTAGAGCCCGGCGTTTCCTGGGGATGTAACAGTAAGAGATAGATCAATATCGACCATCATAAAGACTGAAAAATAAAATTGACAAAGATTATTGTTTAAGGTTGACGGACACGCATGTCTTAATTAGTTTTTTTTTGGTGGGGGTTACGAATTGGTCAAACCCAAACTCAAACAAAAACATTGTTTATGAGTCTATCAATTGAACAGAATTTTATTATAAACAATTGTCTTGTAAATGGAATTTTTAAAGTATTCTGAATCTAAAAATAAAGAAAAAAGTGTGCAAGACAATAAGAAACACTACCTGCCAAAAAAAAAGTGAAGTTTTGTTGAAATCGGTTGAAAAATGTAGGAAATCCGATCCCATATATAAACAAACACACACACACAAACAAACAACCTGGCTTTTTTAATAAGTATAACTCGATATGAGTTGTTCCCCTTTCATTCTCGCGACAGCGATGCCTCTTAATCGTGTTTTCAAATTGATTTCGTGCAAAAACAATTGTGTTTTTCCAATTTTTGGCGCTGTCAGAACCATCGCAAGATAATTTTACGAAGTCCTGTGAAGTTTTGTTGAAATCAGTTGAAAAATGTAGGAAATCCGATATATAAACGAACAGACACACACACAACCTGGGTTTTATAATAAGTATGAGATATATATATATACACACACACACACACACACACACACACACACATATATATATATAGATATAGATATATATTGCAAAAACAGCGAAAGTAAAACCTTTAAACAAAATTAATTATGTTCATTAAATAGTGAATTAGTTTCTGAAGTTTTCTATTTATGGTACTTATTAGTGTTTAAATAAATATTATTAAATCTATCAATTGCAAATGGTCATGTGGTCATAAAAGATGATGGGACCCCTAAGAAGTTTCTGTGTGGTGATATAGACAAACGTTAAAGACCAGCAGACAAGCCGAAATTTCGCTAGAATGATTACATTAAAACACACCGAGGAACACCGACATCAAGGAAAATAAAGAGGAAAACTTTGCTCTAGAGAACGTTCATCCTGAAGATAAAAAATGCGAATGCTAAAACCTCAAAGAGAGATGTTCGACTGGATGTTAATTCGAGTTAACATATATTGAATGTAGTCGCGTCTGTCAAAGGAGAGCAGACCCCCAAATTTGTCAAAGACACTACACGTTATGCGGTATTTATGCAACATCTACTGCAGAAAACGCCCAATGCTGCCACATTTGTGCAAAACAATGTAGTACCCTAGCAATACTTAAAAGGCTATATTTGCGGATGAATGAAGCTATGGACTTACTCATAATCGAGTAGCAACCATCATCTATATATATATATATATATATATATATATATATATATATATATATATATATATATATATATGTATATATTGTTCTTATGTACATCGTCTTTGTCATGTTGAATTGATAATGTTAATTATATTTTATGAATATGTCCCGAAGATGGTTTATTAGACCGAAACGTCCGACGTTGACATATTAACATTAAAACAGCATAATTGTATATAAAGATTTTTGTTTGTTTTTCCGTATATATATATATATATATATATATATATATATATATATATATATATATATATATATATTGATGCATGTTTCATTAAATAATACAGAAAAGTTTTGTCTATTTTAAGTAAGATCCTTTCATATTGTTTGATAAGCATAATAACATTATCATTGAAAGGAAGTCACTATATTGATAGATGTCTAATCCTATCTAAACTTTCGGTTTACATAAGCCATTATCAGAGATAACAATTACATTTCAATATATCAAGCAATACACGGACGAAACAATAATGTCTGCTTTTGTTGCATGAAAAATTTCAAAGCATAGACAAACTCGTGTAGTGATTTTCCAAGCGTGGATTAGATGTGGCACAAGGCGGAAAGTAGGGAGCACCCAGTGAGGATCGAACTGACTACTCAGTCGTAATTGTTCTAGCGAGACAAGCTCGCTAACTATTACACCATCTCGAGATGCCCAACGACAAACTCGTGTATACGAAACGCGGAAGCGAATATCGCATAGCAGCTCGTGACGTCACACATGACCACGGTAGAGAGAAAACGAGAAGTATTAAGTATGGGAAGCCGTTGTTGTATATATATATATATATATATATATATATATATATATATATATATATATATATATATAAAAAAAGGGTTAAACATTACTCTGTCCTGGACATTGAGTTCTACCTGGATTCTATCCTCTCGGAATTTTATTCAAAAAATATACATGTATGTGTATGCACCTATGTATATATATCTATATATTTGCATATGTATGTGTATATTTACCACTATATATATATATATATATATATATATATATATATATATATATATATATATATATCAGTCTGTTCGTATTTATTTATCTATCTATCGATCTGTTACGGTGTGTCCATATCTATCTATCTATCTCTCTCTCACTCTCTCTCTCTCACTCTCTCTCTCTCTATATATATATATATATATATAAATTTCTATATATTATACGTGCGCGGTACTTATTGGAAAGTGCTCAAATAAATAGATTCAATTTGTAAAAAAATAAATCAGATTGTCTGATGATCGCAAAAGCGTGAAACCCAGGATTACAAACTCATATCCATACAACTGAATATATATATATATATAACGAAGTGCTCATACGTATTTATTTTGATGTGTTCATATGTATCTATCTATTACGATCTGATCGTATCTATCTATTATGATGTGCATACACCTATCTATTACGTTCATATCTATTTACTACGATGTGTTCATAGCTATCTATCTATGACGACCTGCTCGTATGTATTACGATGTATATATATATATATATATATATATATATATATATATATATATATATATATATATATATTACGATGGGTTCATTTCTAGCTATCGATTATTATATGTTTATATCTTTCTTTATATCTATCCACCACAAACACGTTTTCTATATAACTCGTTAAATGTAAAAGTCTGTAGGCTTTGAAGGTTTGTTTACAACTCATATCAAACTTTTGGGTAGGCTTTTTGTGTTTTAAATGGGGAGTTTTTTTGTTTTGTTTTTTTTTCCTTTTTAGATACACAATAGGAACAAACTAAGTGTACCCGACAGATCTCGGCTTTCTTTTTCTCAGGGAAAGAAGTTAAGTCAATTTAAGTTTGAAATGTTTTCAATCACAATTCCTAAGATATTTTACGAGAAAGGCAAAAAACAAAAAAAAAAACAAAAAAAAAAACAAAACAAAGCGGAGCCAATAAATAAAAAAAATAGAACAATCAATCAAGAATTAAAAAGATATCACAATCAAGGCAAAACAAAGCATCTGAAAGGAGTAAAGAGAAAATGAAAAGCACACAGCTATTAAGAATATCAATAAACAAGTGTACCTAAACTTGTTCATTCAACTACGTATATATATATATATATATATATATATATATATATATATATATATATATATATAGGGAAGTAGTTCCAACGAAAGAAAAGTGTGTATATTAAAAAGAAGAGAGAAACCGCAAACGTTTTTGGTTGTAATATGGATTTTGTTTTAAATATATTATGCTTTATTTTTCCATAATTTTGCTACACGCGTTTCCGGTCTCGCGACCTTCATCGGGCAAAGCGTGGAGATTTCCACATATTATTAAAAATAATTAATTTTTTCCTTTATGTTTTTCGATGTTAAATATTCTTGATATGAGACATATTGTGTGTTAGTGGCGCAAATGTCTTGAACTGACAGTGAAAAGTTCTGCGTGAAGGGTTAGGCAAGACCGGAAACTCTTGTAGCAAAATTATGGGAAATAAAGTATAGTATTTTTTTTTTAAATCCACATTACAACAAAAAACGTTTGCGTTTTTTCTCTTCTTTTTAATACATACTTACATACATACATATATATATATATATATATATATATATATATATATATATATATATATATATATAGATAGATAGATAGATAGATAGATAGATAGATGCAATGAGAACGAAAGTAATATATAAATTCTAACGTTCACGGCATTAATCCAAAAGAGGACTCGACACTGATAGTAGAGCGATGATTATTTATTATAATTTTATCATATAGACAAAAGCAGTTTACTCACTACAAAGATGCGACATCGTTTCGGTGCACAAACTGATATCAACATGCACTATTGTTTCACTCTGTCATCTTCTTGCCTCATGTATATTTTTCTCAAACAAATGGAAAAAAGGAAGTGAGGTTTCACATAGGGCTTGCCCACAAGCAGAATTGTTCATAACCATTTTTGGTTCTCACACGTCGAGGTGCAGTTGAAATGCACCGAAACGAAATTGCATCTTTGTAGTAAGTAAACTGTTTTTGTCTGTATGATAAAATTATAATATATATACATATATATATATATATATGACTGGGTAGATCTCTTCGTCTTCTTCTATGTCCCGTGTCCCTTCAGGAAGTTGACGATCATGGCTCTCCACAATTTCCTGTCCTTAATAAATTTTGTCTTTTTGTTATCTCCCCCTAGTTCCGTCATCCATTGACTCAAGTTCGCTACGTAGGTTATGCCTTGTTTTCCTCTGTCCCTCTTGCCTTCAGTCTGTCGTGTGAGTATCAAATTTTCCAAACCCTCTTTCCTCATTATGTACACTAGAAATTTAAATTATCTCTTCCTGGTGTTAAGTATAAGTCTCGTTTTCGTGCCTATCTTCTGTAAAACATTAACGTTGCTCACATGTTCGGTCCATTCTCAGCATCCTCTTGTAGAAGCACGTTTTTGTTACATCAAGTCTCTTCTTCCTCTCTCAAATTGCCTGATATTATATAACAGTTCTATAATTTTTAGGAGAATCGTTATTTTCCAAAAAGTTGTGCGAACAACTGAACCCATTCTTTATGTGCGTTGGTTTGTTTTGTTTCACGGCATATCAACACTTCA